GGACAGCGCGTTTTGCGGTGACAGAGCGTGTCTGATGGAGGGTTGTCACGGTGCGGGAGCACCCCTCAGACTTCGATATTAAAGCCCTCCTAATATAAGAGCAAAAGCTCTGCTCTCTACCGTCGATATGCTCGCCTCAAACCTTCTCCCCTTCCTAAAGGCTGCGCGATATCGCGCTTGTGTGTCGTCAGATTCGTATACGCATATATATGCCTGGCGGAGAAGGGAGAAAGGGAAAACTGAGGGTAGCTCGCGAGTTAAACATGAACCGCTGTGCGTGCGTCGAGATTTTTAAGCGACAACTTACGGCGAGAGGGTGGAATCTCTGTCCAAGAGGGTGCATCCAAGTTATAATTTGTATAATTCGCGATGAGGAAAGGACGAAGCGGCCGAATTAGAAAGAAGCAAATGAACATATATACCACGTGAAACTCGAATAAAAAGGAGAAGGAAGAGTAGGAACGTAGACGCGAAAAATAGAAAAGCCTGAAATTATGTTCAGCTGGAAAATATCTTACTGAATACTATCGATATATATAGATTATCTATAGATTACATCGTGATAGAAAAGAGACGCCATTTTTAAACGTCTACGGCGAGAGGGTGGAATTTCTATCCACAAGGGCGTCTCTATGTTATAATTTGTATGATTCGTAATGAGGAAAGACAAAGTGGTTGAATTAAAAAGAACATACCACGCAAAATGTGAATAAAAGGGAGAAGAAAGAAAGGGTGTGTAGGAAAAGAAAGAGAAGGATGTATAAGAACGAAAGTGCGAAGGTGGAAAAGCTTGAAATTATGTGCAGCTCGCAAATATCTCACTGAATATATTCGATGTATATAGAGTTATCTATAAGTGGATCACGGGAAACGTAATTTTCAAACGTCTACACTGAAAAAGACACATTTGAAAATTTATTTGTGGGATATAAAGTTTATTTCTGAAATAAAATTTTTTTCTGTAATAAACTTTTGTAATAAATTTTTCTGAAATAAACTTTTATACCACACATATAAATGTCCAAGGCTTTTTTCTCAATGTAGCTACGGCGAGAGGGTGGAATCTGTCCACGAAGATATATCTACGTTATAATTTGCATAAATAGTGACAAAGAAAGATGAAATAGCTAGATTTAGAACGAAGCAAATGGACGTATAAACGTGAATGAAAGAGGAGAGGGACAGGAAGGGTGATAAGGAGAAAGAAAAGAAAGATGTGTAGGAGACGAGAAAAGTAGAGAAGTTTAGAGTCACGTACAACTCGAGAATACTTTGCTGAATGGATAAAGTTGTCTGTTATCGTGAAACAAAATTCGCGACATTTTGCCAAGAGCATTTCTCAACTCCCACACCAAGATGCAAGCAAAACATTAAACGCATTTCAACGTTTTTCTTTAAGCTCACAGGTTGCACATCAATATCAGTGTCACCGATGCCACGTGTTTACACGCCTACACAGGCGCGAAAGAGATACCAGCGAGATAAAGACGGCCGAGTCGCACGCGCGTTTAGAACCAGCGTGTGCACCCGAATGGAGAAGCGGGGAAAAAGCCCGAGGAAAGAGCAGGGCCCGCGCGCCACCCACACACGTGTGTACGCACGTGCACGCATACACAGAGACGCTCACGGGAGCCCCCTAGACTCCCGGCTTCCGTATCCATCTCACACGCACCATTGACCCCGAATGCACGTCCGATAGAGCTTCCCTGGACCTCCTCAAAAATCAAGTTATCTCTATTCTCCGCGCATCGTGGCGTTTGGAATAAAACGCGGCGTCGCGCGATATATCGAGCGCTTTGAGAAATGTCTTGCGTCTCTCGTGCTCGCGTTCGCTCGTCCGCGACTGGCGCTGAGAATCTGTCGAGCGAATTTCAAAAATGGAAATTCGCACCGTTCGAAAATAACGACGACCAAGCGGGAATGCGCAATTTATGAATTTGTGCATCGCGATGTGATCTCGCGTGAGAATCCGCAATGAATGCGATATATCGTATCACAAATCCGGCACGATTTTTAAGAGAATTTGAGGCATGATAGTAATTTAAATAAATGTTAAACATATTAAAAATGAATCAATCAACTTTCTTTTGTAATACACCAAAATATTCTTTGAAATGTCCATTATAAGAAAACATAAGTATTACATTGAAAAAATAGTTCAAAATAAAAACATAATAAAGTTAAACGTTGTTATTTTAAAAACCTTATTTAACCTCTTATTACGCTTTTTACACGGTACGATTTTTAAAAGAATTTGAGGCATGATAGTAATTTAAATAAATGTTAAACATATTAAAAATGAATTAATTAACTTTCTTTTGTAATACACCAAAATATTCTTTGAAATGTCCATTATAAGAAAACATAAGTATTACATTGAAAAAATAGTTCAAAATAAAAACATAATAAAGTTAAACGTTGTTATTATAAAAACGTTATTTAACCTCTCATTACGCTTTTTACCCGAGGAAAAATAGGAGATATTTTAAAACTTATTTATTTTTGGATTATTAATTTTTAAACGTTTTTAACAATAACTTATTAAGATATGCAATACATAAAGATGTGTTATTGCACGTTTAATCAATTATAATAATTTATTAACAACACATTCTTGTCAATAAAACAATAGAACTTTTCTTTTTACTATTCTTAAAAAATATTAATGACAGTCAATATTAAATGCAATCTTTGATTATCTTCTGTGAAACATATATGAAAAAAAATATATATACTACTGTGTCCAAAAAGTAAGACCAATTTAAAATTTCTTTTTTAATCTTTATTTATTATTCCAAATCTATTTCGTCGCCTTCAAAGTAATCCCCCTCAGACACAATACACTTATGCCAACGTTTTTTCCAACCCTCGAAACAGTTGTTAAAGTCGATTTCCGGAATGGCCTTCAAAGCTTTTTTCGATTCAGCTTGTATTTCTTCAATCGAGTCAAAACGGTGTCCCCGGAGCGATCTTTTGAGTTTAGAGAATAGCCAGAAGTCACACGGTGCTAAATCAGGTGAATATGGTGGAACGATATGGGTCGAATTTTTAGCGAAATGGTCTCGAAGAACCAATGCAGTGTGGGATTATCGTGGTGCAAAAACCAAGAGTTGTCTTTCCACAATTCCGGCCTCTTTTTGCGAATAGCTTCACGCAAACGACGCATAATTTGACACAGATGTCTGTCACAGTGCTACCAATTTAGAAAAAAAATATTTCTGACATTCGATATATCCGCGCAATTTAACTTGAAAATTGGTCTTACTCTTTGGACACAGTAGTACATATACAGGGTGTCTCACACTCTTCTCCGGGCATTTTGTGGGGACGTAGAACAGGTTGAGGTGAACATAAAAGTCCTATACCGTTTTGCGATATTCGCAATAACTATCGAGATATTATTTGTAGAAAATTTGTGAATGATCATACAGGATATGGTAAATGAGTTATAATAGTGACGACTGCCGTCATATACTTATACTTTAGCTCAAATTGAACAAAAATGTCCTCTATCATTTTGCAAATAATCACATAGATTTTTAATTATTAATTAAAGAAGATGAGTGCATTATCACGCAAAATCGTGCAATAATCTTCTTTAATTAATAATTAAAAATCTATGTCATTATATGGAAAATGGTAGAGGACTTTTTTGTTCAATTTGACCTAAAGTATAAGTACACGACGGCAGTCGTCGTTACTATAACTCATTTACTATATTCTGCATGATCATTTACAAGTTTTCTACAATTAATATCTCGATAATTATTGCGAATATCGCAAAACGGTATAAGACTTTTATGTTTACCTCAACCTGTCCTACGTCCCCACAAAATGCCCGGAGGAGAGTATGAGACACCCTGTATAACCGTATATAAAAGAAATAATACAACTTAATATTTTAAAGTTGTTATAATGACATAATCCCATTATGTCTTTAAATGTAACAGTATAAATTAGATAGTATAAAATATCATAGATCGTCGCGCGATATTTGCACACATATTTAACTAAAATGACAAAAGATTTTGAGGCGCGATTTTAAAAAACCGATAAAAGTCAATAAAAGTCCAATTGTAATTAAAAAAAAAGAAAATCGCTCATCCTTAAAACTGAGTCGAACGTGTCTCGTTTCACAACGAAACTTTCAAATAATTGTTATCGCGTTTTTTTTCAACGGGAAAACTTTTCATTGAAACGTCATTTGACGCCATTATATTTGCTAGGCTTATACTAGGCTTTACTTTATAGAATAAGGTTTGATCCAGATTTTAAATCAATATCAAATTGTTTATGATCACTTTCAGATATAATATAGATTAATTTCTTCATAATTTTTTATTGTTCTTAAGATATAGATAATGTACCCTTAAACACTTCAAAAGAGAGTCTCAAAAATCGCACAAATTTTGCAAATGAAAATAACGATGGAATTGAACGTGTCTCATCTTATATGGAAATTTCCAAGTGCTAAACGTATTAATGACGTACTCTTGATGTTACAGATGTATTAATGCATTATCAGAATGTTATTTGACGTCAACGTGTTTGCTGGGCTTACACTTGAAAGTGGAGTAACTTTTAATCTAGACTCTGAGTCTTTCAATGTTAAATTATTTGTGTCCATTTTTAGATACAATATAGATTAATCTCTAAATTCTTCAGAATGTTTTCACTATTCTTAAGATATAGGCAATACACTCTCGCGGAAAGATTCTCAAATCGCGCAAACTTCGCGCAAAAGAAATTCGCACGATTAAAAATAACGGCGAACAAGTTGAACGCGTCGTCTCACTGTGAGCTTTCCAAGTACTAAATCATTAGTACCGCGTTTTCTCCAAGGGATAAAATTTCAAGCGCTTCGCGGAGGAGTTTTCAAAAATCGCGTGAAATAAGAAGAAAGCTGCGAATCTGCTTTGGCACAATCGGTGTGCGAAAAAGGCGGAGTTGGTACACGATACGATATCGAGATCTGTTTGCGACGCTTAGGTTTCACTTACCGTAAATCTCCTGCACCAGATGCTCAGCCATTTGATGTCTCGTATGCGTTTCCCTCCGGGTAACCTCAAGATGATGTCTTTGTTGCTGTACGCTCCCAGCACTTGAGGGTCACTGTTAACAGGAAGCAGCAGCGATTCGTACGTTGAAACGTAATCTGTGTTTATATCATGGAGTGTGCAGTGAGAGAGCTATTATTTGAAAAAAAAAAAAAAACAGCGTAAGCTCGGAAACTCGAATCGTACGAGCAACACCAAAATGTTTCCACCGTCCGCGCGCTCGTAGAGGTCGCTGTTGATCGAAATAACATTTGGACAAGTGTAATCAGATGAACTCGCGTTGTTTTCGCACGCACCGTGGCTCCGCGTATTTTTCTCACACATCCCATTAATTACCCAGACCTCCCCGGATGAGTTTGCAGATCGCGTCGCTCATCATACAAATGACGTCGACTCGATCGATTTCACGCTCGACGATATGGTCGACGCGATGCAGCATTTCGCGCGCGAACCGTCTCACGCGGGCGCAATCGAGGGAGAATGGACGGCTTGTGTACGCGCGGTCAGGGATGCAGGAAGCCGAAAGGAGAAGGGTACGAAAGGAAGCGTAGGATTCTCTCGCGGGGCGGCCCCGCGCGGCAGTCCGTAACCAAGGGATGAAATGAAATTCAAAGAGTGCTGCGCTGTAAGCGCGGCGGAGGGGAACACGCGCGCGGCCATGTATGCGTCGAGGGGATCGCGGGGGTGAAAGCACAAGGAAGAACGAGCGGACGAGTGGCGTGTGTGCGCGCGAGCTAGAGAGTGCAGTTAATAAAACGGGAATTATACGCCAATCTCGTTCGGATTTCATCTACGCGAGCACTTTATTACGTTTCTACTCGGTTGCTTCCTATCCGCTCCAGCACACGCCCGAAACTTGCGCACGCGACGAGTGTCCTTTAGTATGTGTGTGCGTGTGTGTGTATGTGTAACATCCTTGTACATACTTCTGTGTACACACACGCACCTACACACATATACACATGTGCACATTTAACGTTAAATGTGATCGTCCGATTGTCAGTTTACAAAAAAAGTTTTTCGCTATGAAAGAATAAAGAACTCGATGTTAATATTGCTTTTGGTTTTCGCAGAGAATGTGTAAATAGGAGACAATAAAAGTATAAACAGCGCCAATAGTCTTACCTGTCTTTATCGAGCTCAGGATATTAATATTATTATTATGCAGAGTGTCCCAGAACAATTTTCGAAGTCGTGAATGCATGGGTTGAGGTGAACATAAAAGTTCTATACCGTTTTGTGATATTCTCAATAATTATTAAGATATCAATTAAAAGAGATTTGTGAATGGTCATGCTGTAGTGGTGACGTCTGCTATCGTGTGTTTGTACATTAAGTCAAACTGAACAAAAAAGTTCTCCATCATTTTCCTAATAACTTTGTAGATTTTAATGATTAATTAAAGAAGGTTGACGGATGCTCGCTCGCGACAATATATTATGTTATCGAATTAATAACTAAAAATCTACGAAGTTATTAGAAAAAAGACAGAGGATTTTTTGGTTTAGTTTGATTTTTTTATTCAGTTTGATGAGCTCTAGCTGCCCACACAACGGGGATATGTCAATAATTCTCAGATACCTTTTATACAGGATGTTCCAGAACAACGAAGTTTTAATAGAGACATAGTTTATAGTGAACATAAAAATCCTATACTATTTTGCGATATTTCTAATAATTATCGAGATATTAATTAAGGAAAATTTGTGAATGATTATGCGAGATATGGTAGATGAGCTGTATTGGGCGACATCTGCCGTCGTGTGCTTGTATATTAGCTCTAACTGAACAAAAAAATCCTATATTATTTTGCAAATGACCATACGTAAATGACGCAAATGACGTAGATTCTTAGTTATTAATTAAAGAAGATGAATGCATGATTGTGTGCTAATTTTAATATTCTCACAGCTCATCTATTATTTCACGCGTGATCACACACATTCGCCAATTTCTTTAATAACCAACTCAAACTTTTACGTGGTTGTTTAGGAAATCGTGGGAGAATTTTGTATTCAGTTTGACGAGTTTTATCCGCACACAATAGGTGTGTCATAATAATTGTCAGACATCCCGTATATCATATTTCCATGTATATATACATATCTAAGTTGTATCATGAAATAAGTTTCGTGAGAATTTGATGAAACTTGCAGTACATAAACAGTGAAATATTACCTAACTACTCGTGCAATGAAAAAAGGATTGACTATCCAAGATCTGAAGTATTTGCAAAAGTTAACACTTTTTATACGTGTTTCTTGATGCTGTTATTTTGAATTTCAATTTTTTATTATCTTTTAAACTACATATAAAATTTTTATCACTATTATAATATTAAAAAGTAATGTATAAGCATTATACACAAATTTCAGAATTATTATAGAATAATAATTTCAGAATTAACCATTGTTTTCAAAATACAGCAGTAGAAAGTTCGTAATCTATAACAATACACAAAATACATATACATATACTAAATAAAATACTAATATATTCTTTTTATTATCTTATTACGTCTCTATTAAATCAATTGATTCATAAACAAAGCATTCATAAACCAGCATTCATTTTATTTTTCAGCAGAAAAATAAAATTTAATAATTTTTTTGTATTTGTAATATTATATATATATATATATATATATATATATATATATATATATATATATATATATATTTACCTCAATTTTTCATTTCAAATTAACAGTGATATTTACATAGTGAAATAAATGTATAGAAACATAATTTTATTTCATAAAAACAGTAAATTTATAAGCGGCTTTCCTGATGCGCCAAAAATACGATACCTATCGATACAACTACTTTGACGTTAGATATAATCGATGATTGTTATTTGAAAAGAAAGTTTTTTGCAATCGACAGACAGGAAACTTTATATCGGGCTTGTTTTCGGTTTTTGTGGATGGTATGCGTGGAAAATATAAACAGCGTTACTGCGTTTTACCTTTCTTTATCGGTTTCAGGATAGGGTACGATATAACCCTCGGGACTGGGCATGAGACTGTTTCCAACCCAGAAGTAAGCGTCCGGTCCGGTACCGTCATAACTGAATCCTTTGATGAATATCGTCGCATCGTCCACGGCGTATACTTTACCCTTAATGTCGTGCCCGTAAGTTTTTAAGGTACCGATGTATTTACCATAATAATTCGGTGAGTTTCTGGCATAACCTGAAAACAGAAGCACATATCGTGTATATTAAGATTTTGTTTATTAAAAACATATTAACAAAAGAATTTTCATAAATGAAACGTAACTTTTCGACACAGAATTTATATTTAGATATAGTAAACAGAACACGTATGTGGATGTGTGTGTATGT